TCTCGTTTCATATTTTGCCTCCTGATTCAGTTTGCTTTCATACTTTCTGTTTCTAAACAAGGGAGGAGGCCCTGGGCGGAGCCAGGACACGCTGGAGAGGTTACGTCTCTGGGCCACGGCGAGCCCTGAAGGCCACACAGGTTTAGAGGTTTTCCTCAGGAGCAAACATTTTACTTTTGCATTTGCAACCTGTGGAGCTTAAACATTTCAGCAGATGATCAAACAGCTGGAGGAAGCAGGTATTTTCTGGCACCAGCAGCAACTCACAGCAGGGAGTCTGTGACAGCAGAGCAGAGATCTCTGGTTCTCCACAGAGCCGTGAAGCCTGACAGCAGCTTCCCGGCTGGTTACCGCTCCTATCAGCTCCACATCACTAAGTGATAGTCATCACTACTCCTTCTTCTTTCAGATGATATAAAAATATCACTACTAACACTTTCCTGTGACACCAGTTTATTCTGGGTTTCTATGACGAGGGTGCTGGGAGAGGCTTCGGCTGAATTTAAGGCTGTTGTTTCCTTTTGATGACTCAAATATCCACAGAACGTGCAGCTGGAAGTCCGTCTGTGTGACTGAACGCCGTCTCGGATCGAGACCAGACGTTTGCTCCTCTGGCAGCCAAAAATCCGTCCTCCTCCGTGTGACGGAGAGCTGGACAAATCCGGTGTGACACGTCGGCTCCACGCAGTCACACTCTGCCACTGCTCGTATCCTTCAGCCGGAGCTCCGGTTCAGCCTCAACGTGTCAAGCGGAGAGACGGGATAGAAATTATCCTGGGAATTTTTCTCACCGGATGCAATGGATCCAGACTAAAACACTTCAGTGGGGAACGAGAGAAATAAGGCCGGTTTTCCTCGGATTAAAAATGGCGAGGATGTGATGTTGCCATTAGCTTATAGATCATATGAGGTTTTCATGGATAAACAGGAAGTAGAGGCGGATACACACACATTCAGACCAAATTTGTGTTTGCTGTTCAGATTATTCCTGGGCAGTTTTTTAGCCGTGCTGTCTCTGGGCGTGCTGGTCAGGAGACTTCTGCTCGTTGTTTTTCTGGTTTTTCTTGTTCCTTCGTTTACAGCAGCTGATCACGCTGAAGCCAGCCGGGATGACGACAACATCGACAGACAGGAAGAGGAGGACGGGCAGACGGTGCAGAGGAGGAACCAAGTGACGGGAAAGAAATGAAAATCTAAGCTGCATCTCCCATCTGTCATCGCAGCGCGAGGTCAACAGGATGCCACGAAGTTAAGAAGACTTCTGTGAATTCAGTCTCCTGAGTTTAACAGCTGAGTGAGAAGCAGAGCAAAAGTCTGAGCGGTGCCCCAAGTGAGGAAGATCCTCCTGATGAGGGACAGGAAGAACATGACAGGTGGATCAGTGCTGCACCACTGTGGTGGAGAAAGCTGAGCTGGAAGTTGAAGCCCCCGTCATGGACATGCAACGAGCATCATCTCAAGGAGCTTTATTTCGTAAGGTTAAGACCCTCCAACCAGACGAGCATCTGTGAGCCAACGCTTTGGCAACAGTGGGAAGAAAAACTCCCTTTGAGCAGGAAGAAACGTCCTGGCTCATGTGGGAGAGCAGCTGGCACGATTCATTCCTCTGTTAAACAAAGCTCAGAGCTCAGTCTGGGTCCCACTGACGGACATCATCTCTGCAGCATCTCCAGAGCCTCCTCCAGCTGGACAAGCCTGAAACACTACGAGGCAGATGTGGAACCCCCTCAGCTGTCCCTCCTCCCTCCGTCTCTGAGGCCGAGCTCTCTCTGCACAACAGAAGATGCTTGCATCGTCTGCACCACCTCAGACTCACCGTGTTGCTGCAGGTTCTGTAGCGGATATTTTTTCCTTCACAGCTTCTGTAAAACAAGGTCAGAAAAAACGATTTAGTGATTAAAACCAAAACACATCAAAAGCTTTAAAAACAGCGAGTCGTGCACCGTTTCCATCATCAGCCGGTGAGTCGCCAAACATTATTTTTATAATCAGATAAAAATCTTTTCTACCGCAGGGTGACGGTTCCACTGGGGCGCAGAGATTATGGTGTAACGAGACAATGATCTCCTAATTACTGACTCACTCAGTTCATTACAGGACGCAGAGTGAAGACGCTGCTGACTGTGGGGGGGCGGCAGCACGCGCTCAGACGCGTTTCTCTCTGTGCAAACCTGACGGCAGACACAACCCCCCCACTGTCACTCACAGCATCACTCAGACACAGATACCTGCTAATCAGTGCTCAGTGACATCCTATAAAAACCCTGAATTTCCCTCTGCACCACAGCTGGAGCTCAGCCTTCCTGTGCTGTTACCACAGACTCCTGAGAACCAGCCTGTTCATCTATGTTCTCTGCCGTGGGCGTTTGTTTTTGCTCTATATCTACTGCCTTATTTGAGCTACTCTACTAAGTCCTGATGAGCTAAACAGAGGACTTCCTGGGCTTTCCACTGATACGTCGTGTGTTTGTGGCGCCTCTTTTAGCGCCAAAGGAAGGAAAATCATGAAAAAGTTCAACGGGAAGGTTTGTTTTCCTCGGTTCTCAGGATGAGGCTGTTTTCTTATTCGTCTCCTACTTTCAGCTGCTCTCTTTAGCGGGTCATCTGCCTCCATCTGACCT